ATCAAAAAATCTACATACTTTAGAAATACCTACTAGAGCCGGGTCTTGTCAATTCACCCAGGACCGTACTCCACATCTAAAGAACTATCTGTCTGTTAATAATCCTTAAATTCCCTTAAATGATCGTTGCCTTCACGAAGTTGATAAATCTTTGGATTCTAGAGAATTGGAATTAAAAAAGTGAGAAGTAAGAATTCGTCTAGATATTTTCCAGTTGCGGCACTGGACTGGATACGGTCCTGGCAACGATTGACGGAATCCTGTGAAATGATAGCGGAATTGAAAAAAGTTAAGATGATTTCGGGCGGGAAGACTTTTATTAAAACCATCGGTTGCTGCAGCACCTTCGTAAAAGTCGTGCCCTAGAGAACGACGCTCGAAACCGGAATCACGCCATCTGGTGGTGATCTACGACGACACGCGCCCACGCCTGCGTCGTTCTGCGACCCGAAAATTTTCGCTTCGCTTGCATATTCAACCTTATTGAGCATATTACATATTATTTATTTATTACACATACTCAAAATGTCATTTAAAGTTGCTACATCTAGATTATACGCGTACTAAAATATCTTTATATGAGATTATTAAAATATAAAACGCGATTTTATTTTTCTTTTCCTATAAAATGTATTATAAATTGTGCCTCGTGAGCTACTTCTAGACTCTACAGTACTCACTAACATGCAGGGGGGATGATGACACCAAACACAGCTGAACACACCTAAACCATGCGGGGAACACAACATAGCGGTGGCTGAAGTAGGCTAATAAAATTCCGAAACCTTCACCACCATATTTTCAAGGATGTACCACAAGGTACAATTTTGGGGCCCGCTTATCTTTGCATTTAAACGGGTGTGTCGCAGCTCTTTGGAGATTTTAGTAGCCTACTTTGCGAAAAAGAGAAAATAAAATAAAAAAACGAAAAATACAAATCACGAAATTTATTACAATATTTGGTAGCAATTAAATTTATAAAAAAGTCAATATCTTAATTATTATTTGCTATAGTTCTCTAAGGATCAGCCACAGTGACCCGGTCGGCTTAGTCTTGTGTAATTGGATAATTAGATAGCGAAGTACCGATCGCGCTCTGTGGCTGCCCGTTAGATCACGACCAACTAAGCAAAATACTCTTAAGCGTAAGGTCAGTCGCTATATAAAAAATTCGTACTAATTTATAAATTTCTAAATAGAAAACACACTATACATTTAATATTCAAAAATCAATAAAAAATTACAAAAAAGAAATCACTTCGAGGATAGTTTCAATATAATTAAAATATCAATATAAATATAACTAATCAAAAAATCTAATTAAACTATTTGAAACAGTCACTCTGCACACAACTGTGGACATGTACTTGTACTAACATTCATATTTAAATATCTTCACAAAAATATGTAAAAAAATAAAATAATAATTATAATAATAATAATATGGTATTAATAGCTATAAAACAACAACCTATTTACAGTGTATGTACGTAAAACAAACTAAGTCTCGGGGGGGCGCGGCAGACGCAGATCGGGCGAAGCGAATAATAATAATAATCATAATAAAATATATAAATTTATCTAATAACGATAATTTCCAAATACTACAATAAAAAAATAAATAAAAACAAAATATAGCTTCTTAATATTTAATAATATATAATAATACATATATTAATAAGTAATATATAAGCGCGCGAGCCCTGGGATCTGCGCCGGCCGTAGTTGGCTGCTGATTTGAATCTACTCTGAAGTGCAGGGCAGGGAGAAATGCATGAAAGTAACTAACGACCGGGGGGTGGGTCGCCACTCTCTAGTGAACGTGAATACTGAAGGATCGAGGCGCAGGGGCAGACGGGGGCCACGCTATTTTTCATTTAATACACGTCTGAGAACTTCCAGCTGTGATGACCGCCTCCGACAATACGGGACATTAATTATTAATAATCGGTTTACTAACGGCAAATAAAATGTACATTTGAGTCAAACAAACAGGACTTTTATAGTAATTATAATGTATTAAAGACGAAAAAATTTCCAATTCGAGCTACATAGCTTTCAGTAAACCCCAAGACTTCCATAAAAAAGGTAGTAGTAGTTTACATTTATTAAATTAACATGAATAGATTGCTACTGTTATTGCACCATTAAAAGTGCTAGTGGTAGTTTACTTGTTTATTTCTAATAAAATAATAAAGTAATACCTTTCCTGAATCTGATCAAACTGCTATCGTTTCAATTATTCGTGGAAACACGTTTTGTCAAATTAACATTAAGAGTTTGTTACTATTAATATACATTTTGTGGTTGATAGAAAACTGTTTGCTTTAATATTAAATGATAAAATTGAATAACTATTAAATATTTTTGACAAATGCATGTTTAGTTAAATTAACATTAACAGTTTGTTAATATATTTTGTTGACAATAAAAATTTTACTTTGCTTTTTAATAATCAAATTCAATAACTAATATGTCTGACAAATATATATTTTGTTAAACTATCATCAACAGTTTGTTAGTGTCAGTATACATTTTGTTGTCAACAAAACACTGTTTGCGTGCAATCTCTTAACGACTAAACTGAATACTTAATCTTTATCTCAAATGTATGTTTTGTTACTGTTAATGTATATATTGTGCAGTATTTTTTATATAAGTGGTAATTAACTTGTTTATTCCGTTAACAAAATGAAAAAGTAATACCTTTATTGAATTTGATCATTAATTAGTTACAATTAACATTAATGTTTATTGCTAACATACATTTTGTTGTCGATAAAAAAAACGTTTAAACGGAATATTTAATATTTTTGACAAATATGTTTTGTTAAATTAACATCAATAGTTTGTTAATGTATATTACATTTCGCACCGTTATAAAAGTGGTAATGATGTTTACTATTTTGTTACTGAAATAATAAAGCTATGAATTTGATGAAATTGCTTTAATCGCAATTATTTGTGACAAATATGTTTTGTTAAATTAACGTTAATATAAAATAAAAATATAAAAATATGCTTATTCTGTTAACAAAATCATAAAGTAATAACTTTATTATTGAATTTGATCATTAATTAGTTGCAATTAACATTAATGGTTATTGCTAATATACATTTTGTTGTCGATAAAAAAACGTTTAAACGGAATATTTAATATTTTTGACAAATATGTTTTGTTAAATCAAACATCAATAGTTTGTTAATGTTAATATACATACTGTTACTAAAATAATGAAGTAATGAATTTGGTGAAACTTCTTTAATCGCAATTATTCGTGACAAATATATGTTTTGTTAAATTAACGTTAATGGTTTGTTATTGTTAATATACATTTTGTTATCGATAAAAATCTGTTTGCCTTAGAATTTTTTAGTAATTAAACTGAATATTTGATATATTTAACAAATATGCTTTGACAAATTTACGTCAATTAATTCTGTTAATAAATATTTTGTTATCAATAAAAAAACTGTTTGCTTTACAATATTTTAGTGGTTTTATTTAAATTTCTGAGAAATATGATAAATTAACTTCAACAGTTTGTTACTGACCATTTTGTTATTAAAGAAAAATTTTTCATAATTACTCAATGATTAAACATACATTTAAAAGTAATTATTAAAGAAATGGAAATATTACGGAAGTCTTGGAAACTTTTGAAAACTTTGAAGAGTTAGCTGAATTGGAGTTTCATGTGATATGTAGGTATTATGACTTCTACTTCTCTTTTAATATTACTTTGACAGTTTATGTAATGCATCTATCGGCAGTGCTGAAGAATCTGTTAGAACTACATTTTCGTGTACGTGAAATGCATCTTTACTTACGCAAGGCGGACGGACGGGCGGACATCGCCAGCTGAGGGAATCTGATACGGACAACTCAGGGAACTAAAAAATGTGGGAGGGGCGGCGTCGGTCGCCGGCCGGCCAGTGGTGTGCACGATAAATAATTTATTTATTTATATCATCATAAAATCTCTCACAACTCATACGCTATAAGAAATATAGAAATATACGTATCACATCACATGACATAACAGAACAATAGCAACAATGAGTGATCAACTAACAATAAGGGATATGTATCTCGTTATTAGGGGGTGCACGGACCGCGGCCGACCGGTGGCAGTTTGGCGTGGATCACAGCCGAAGGGGGGCCCCCTGTCTGCCGGCCCCTGTCGCCGACGCTGGCTCACTTCGCCCAATTGCTGCTGCATTGCTCTCACCGCACAACCAACCCTCTTACTTGCAACTACTATCAAACTAATTCTCACTTCCGTTATATCGATATACATATTATATTTTTTAGTGTTTTTTTTTGCAATATTTTTTATTCATATATTATTTTTAACTTTTTAAATATTACATTACTTAAATAATATATATTTTGAGAATTGCTGTTTCAGACTTTAATAATGTGACACTGCACATGGCGAACTTAAAAAAATATATTTAAAAAAATAACGAAACACTTATCAATAGTATAAAAATTTACATTATTATTACGTAGTGTCGCGTCATGTCTTTTACAGGGGGTGGGTAGAGATGTCGAGAGGGGGAGATAGTTACACGCAAAACGTTAAACAAAAATAAACCAATATGACTCTAATACTATAAAACCGTGATATAATAAGAATATTGTTGAACTGGCATACGAGATGACTACGCGCCGGCGATCCGCGCCTTTCTGCCACACCGCCGCCTCATCATGAAACAATAGGCATGGCCACATACACCTCTACTCAAAAGAAAACAAAACAACATCCAATTTAACAACTCAAGGGAAAGGACAACGCAATAAGTACTACTCAAAGACCAGAGTGAACAGTTTCCAGCAGCGTTCGTTGTATGAGTGCGTGTTGCGGCGGCCGTGAGGCTGCGGGCGCGTCGCGGACCGCCGGGGCTGAACACAGGGCGCGGGCCCGGGGAATGCGGAGAGGATTCGAGCGAGATCGATCGGCGGCGACGGCGGCTGTGGCGGCGGCCGTGAGGGCTTAAGGGTTGGGCGAGTAGATGCGGATGGCCTGGATGGCGGGCAGGGAGCAGACTGGGCACTGGGCCTCGTTGCCCTCGCACACGCGATTGGCGCACTCCATGCAGAAGAAGTTGTGGCCGCACGGCACCAGGGCGTGCGTCACCTTGGCGTCGGTGCACACCAGACACTTGGTGGTCGAGCTGAGCAGCGAGTCCGCTGGGCTGGTGCTGTTGGCCGGTGAGGGTCTCGAGGGTGCCGATACCGTGGGATAGGACCAGATATTGGACAGTGCCGTGGACGTGTCGAAGCTGGGGGAATCGCCTAGACCCTCGTCGCGCTCGCTGGAGCTCCAGATGGCGCCCAGGTCGCGGCCGCCGCTGCTGGAGGAGCTACTGGAGCAGGAGCCGGAGCTTGAGAAGGCTCCGCTGCTGCCCGTCGACGACGTCATGGTGGGAAATGTATCCGTGGAGGGCTCCATGTAGTTCAGGATGGAACTGAGACCGGATTTGTACAGGGAGGCGATCAAATCGTTCTCGTCTAGACCTCCTAGACCGGGCAGGCCGTTGATGGAGGTCCCGTTGCCCGTGCGCATAGCTATGTGCGCTTCTATCTCCCTGCGAGCGGACTCGACGCTCTCTGGTAATCCGGTGACCTCGAAAACTGGCTCTTTATCGCGACTGGGCGTCACGATGTAGGTGTGAGTCTGATGCTGGATCCTCTTAATGGTCGCGCCCTTCGGTCCTACTACCAACCCGACCACTCGGTACGGCACCCTTACTTGGATTGTAACGTGACCGGGGATGTTGGCTGGAGGTCCTGGAGGAGTGCTGGCGCCAGAGCCGAGGCCCGCCAGGTTGTTCTTGCGAGACGCCCTGATTTGCGAAAAGTGTTCCGCCGCCGACAGGATCTCCCTCTTGGCTTTAGCGACGTCTTCCTTACGGCCAGTCACCACGAACACCGGTTCCTCGCCTCGCACGGGGGTCTTGATGTAAGTGTTCGTTTTGGCACGAAGGGCCTTGATTTTGCAACCTGCAACAAAAGAAACGACTATTAGTTACACGAATAACATTAGAAGAGCTATATTTTATTGAAGCTTTTATCTCCGCGTTGTGGACAAGGTGTATATTATTGAATATGTTATTGTCTAAGTCCTAAATCGGTAATTGGTAGTAATGGCCAAACATTTGGCGAAATGACCAAATCCAAGTGCTTAAGTAAAAAATAATTTTATTTTAATGTCAAATGAATTTCGGATTCAAGCCATCATATTTAATTGAAAACGCGATGGTTTATTCCGAAAAACTAAGAAGTAAAGTAGAATTTCAAATTAGGTTACGACAAAAAGTGTAAAACAAATAGGTGCAAAGGTAGGGCCAACTCTCTTCTACCCAACCTAATTTAACCTTAATACAATACCTGTCACTTACATATCATTTTTAATGGCCACATTTTTTTTTTTTCGTTTCTGGATACCTGGATTTTCAATTGTGACAAAATCTCTATATAATCGTATTCGTTGTGAATTATTATTTTATATAGAAATAATAGAGAATGTCGTCTACCACAATCCACTAAATTAAGTAATGAAAATCATCCAAGAGAATCTAATTTTATAGAAAATACATTTTCCTTGTATGTATTAATTGTAGCTGTTATATTCTAGATACCAAATTAAACTTCCATACCAGACTTTAGATTTTATAGAGTAAATCATGCTATTCTTTGAAACCTCGCAAATTTCTTATGGCAAAAAAATAATCTATATCATTATTCAGGGGAAGTTTATTTCAGGATTGGATTTTATTCAAGTTATTTTGAATTCTGGAACAATTATTCGCCAATTCAGTTCCATATCATGTGCAAATATCAAACACTGCACATTCACATAAACCACACTATCATTAATATAAAATAAATAAATAAAAAAGGGCAAAGTATGGAGCCCTGAAGAACTCCGGAAGTTGTTGAAATTTCAACTCTACTACTTAATTGTACATATTGTTTTTTGTTTTCATATAGACACGAATTGATTTAACTTGCTTAATGAGCGTGATTCAGTAAATAATATAACAATTGAAACTAAGTAATTGAAGCGGGTATTTTTAATGATGAAGCAAAATTAATTTGGCAAGTCCCACATTTGTGAAATAACACTTGAAATGAATCCATTTCAATTATAAGACGAGACATCAAAGATAGCCCAGTCATTATAGACATGAAAGAGCCTGTTTCGGGAAAAAAATACTATTAGAAGTTTCTCTGCGGAATATTGTTCGGAAACCTGTTATAAATAAAATATCAAAAAATCAACTCGAGGCTAGTTGGGAAACTTTGTTTTAACAGTGGTCAAAGTTATGGAAAAGTGGTTTTTTGACTCACGTAAAAAAGCTATTATTCATAGCGAAAAAAAGTTTATACAAAAAAGGTAGGTATTAAATAAGCCTATAAAATGAGAAAAGTCCGATTAAATTCCGATAATTTGTTTATGCACAAGAGCTCAAAAATGGTCGAAAATTGCCGTTTTTTTCAATTGCTAATAATTAATGCAATTTTCATCGCAGACACTTGTAATTCAGGATTTTTGAGGCTTTTTACACCCTTAATAAGTGGTAAAAATTTCAGCTCGAAAGCTTCATTGGTTTGGCGTTGGCGGAATTTGTTATCTAAGAAGATGCTATTTTCAATTCATTTTTCCCAAGCTCACAGGCGTTGTAGGGTTTTGATCATTAGTTGTTTTTGTACCTAAATAGTTGTATTGACATAGGCATTTACTGAGAATTTAGTTTTTCAAATTTAATTTGTTTAAAATTGACTGAAAAAATGTTAATATTTATTAAATTGTTAAGATAGGTAATTATTATAAAATAAAATAGTAACCTCTTTACTTTAGTTTTCTTCGAATTTAAAAAAAAATCGTTGTTGTAAGTTGATTAGAAGCTGAGATAATTTTTTTTATTTATTTAATCGCAGTGACCTTAATTATTAATATTAAGAGCCGAAATTTGGAGAGAGTATACATTAAGAGCTATATTTTCATGTCCTACATTAACATTAAGGTGAATTCAACTATTTAATTTCGAAAAAGAAGATAGCGGCGATGCGTTCTATTACTTGGTCTAGCGAACGAGTGGGGAAGGCGAGGCTTAGCATGCGCGCTTAACGATGTAATAAATATTAACATTTTTTCAGTCATTTTTAAACAAATTAAATTTGAAAAATTAAATTATCAGTAAATGCATATGTCAATACAACTATTTAGGTACAAAAACAACTAATGATCGAAACCCTACAACGCCTGTGAGCTTGGGAAAAATGAATTGAAAATAGCATCTTCTTAGATAACAAATTCCGCCAACGCCAAGCTAATGAAGTTTTTGGGCTGAAATTTTTACCACTTATTAAGGGTGCAAAAAGCTTCAAAAATCCTGAATTACAAGTGTCTGCGATGAAAATTGCATTAATTATTAGCAATTGAAAAAAGCGGACAATTTCGACCATTTTTGAGCTCTTGCGCATAAACAAATTATCGGAATTTAATCGGACTTGTCTTATTTTACAGATTTATTTAATACCTACCTTTTTTGTATAAACCTTTTTTTCTCTATAATTAACAGTTTTTTTACGCCAGTCGAAAAACTACTTTCCCATAATTTTGACCATTGTTTTAAAAAAGTTTCCCAACTAGTCTCGAGTTGATTTTTTGATATTTTGTTTATAACACGTTTCTGAACAATATTCCGCAGAGAAACTTCTAATAGTATTTTTTTCCCGAAAAAAAGCTATAATGATTGGCCTAAGGGTACTTAAATCATGAATAACAACAAATATATTTTTATTATTTTAAATGAACAATGAGAAAATATTTACTATTGCCCCTTACAGTCTTTTAAAACATAAAGTAATGGCAATAAAAATGCGCACTAAAGTTATTTATTAAATTTATTATTTACTATCAGTGCGATTGAACCCAGGATATACATATTTAAAAATTTGGCAATTAAAAACATTTAAGTTACTCTACAACACAGACGATAAAGCTTATAGCTTTAAGATATATTGTCTTGCGTACAAGTACTTTTCATTTACAGTTTTCTGTATATAGAAGTCTTAACACGACTATTACGCGGCAGAGGTGCTATCTTTCTAACCGATGCTAAAGTTTAATATTCAATGGCCTGGTAATAAACCTCGCTACTCTCGCTAGAAATGTCAATAGCAATGTCAGACATTAATTTTGCGCTTAGTGTTTAGACTTATGATACAATTTCACACAGTACCAGAATTTGATTTAATTCTTCACCTTTTCCAATCTACCAACACAAGCTTGAAAAGTTATACTGACTACGAAAATTATTCTCGAAAACAGATCAACATTTTCAGTGCCCTATTAACTTGCCCGTATTATGGAAATGACGCCGAACAGGTTAATTTCGCGAGGAATCTTCGACTCGCGCCGATTTTAAGACTCGATTCATAATAAGGTGCATCTAATGACCTCCAAAGCGGCCTGCTCCGTTTTCTAGCCGTCGAGCGGCTTGGCGGAGGGATCAAACGGCCGTTTTTCGGCGGGGCGCAGCCAAAAAGACGACCATCCTCGACGTCTGGTCCCCGGGTATATAATTAATATGATCGGCATGTCTGGGAATCGGCAGCAGCGGCAGCAGCGGACCGGCAGACAAAGCCCGCGATGGCGACGCCCTTCAACCTGCCGACAGGTCAGTCGCATTCACCTTGTGCGCACTCGACCAGCCAGACCGCCGTGCGAAACTGCATCGCGGGCTGCATTCTGCACTTGGGCAACCTTCGCGGATGCTGCCGGTGCCGCTGGCCGGGCTTTTTAATTGTCTAGTATGGAGGCATCGATTTATCGCCATTCACGAGTCTCCGCGTCGGTTATACGGAGCCGAGACCGACCGGTAGTCTCCCGGCAGACTCCGCATCCACTTGACCGAATGATCGCTCTGGATAGCTTTTTGTCGATCGTTTATTGCAGCTAATTATTATTAACGTATTACGGAGTGGCGGAACAAATTATTATAATTATTTTAAAAACGTTTATTATTGTAATTCGATTGAGTTATAACTGAATTTTAGAAACCACACACGCCAAAAAAGTTAAATTTCCAGTAGAGTGAAAAAACTGTTTTGTATAAATAATTATTTTTGATGCTAGATTTTGCATTCGAGATGAAAACATTGTAAAAGCAAAAAGAATTTCGAGTACAAACAACATTTTTTCGAAAATTAAATATTACAGTTCAAAAATTACTAAAAATGTGAAGAGAACATTTTGACATTTACAATTAATTTACTTGACATGTTATGTCATCTACAACTTGCTGCATATATTTTAATATCAAATCTTCTTTGGCCCGTGAATATCCGCTCCCAAAGCTGATGCTTCTTCAATATTTACCCAATGACGACTTTAAATTTAAACATTAAAAAAAAATATTAACTGTTAAAATGATCGTTAAAATCTATCTTTCTGTTGATAATAATAAATAAGCTGGTGAACTGATTCTATCATCTACAATTTCATTGATTTTTAAATCCTGGATTTAAAGACTTTTACGTTCTGTAGACAAAAAACTGTTGTTTTGACACTTAATAAATATCACGTAAGTCAACTTTTAATGACAGTTTTAGAAAAATAGTCATTTACACCATAAAGGTAGTAAAGTAAAGGTTCGATTTTGTCGTTTCTAAGGTGTTTATAAAAAAACGCTACAAAAAAGTTGCAATTTAGCTGGTTTTGAATTATTATTTCGAAATGAGTGATTTTCAAATAGAAAGTACAGCAAATGCTGCCTGCGAAATTTTATTGTCTGAGAAGTCGAAAGTGCGCTACGGAATAGCATATAGAAATTTCAAATAATCGTGCCAGAACAAAAATACTGGTTTTATACGCTATCAAGCAGGTAGATGTTACAACCAACCAGTCGGCAAGAGTACTCTTTCTATAATTCCTAATAAGATTGCACAGTTTTTGAAACTAGAACATCCTGAAACATATACAGGACATTCATTCCGAAGAACATCGGCAACGTTACTGGCTAATACAGGAATTGATGTATTAGCAATCAAGAGACATGGTGGTTGGAAATCAGTCACAACTGCAGAAAGTTATGTTGCTGACAGTTTAAAGAACAAAAATGAAACAGCCAACAGGATTCTTTACAATGACACTTCAACTCCAGGTTCTAGTAGTAAGTCGCATCATGTTATTTTAATGGATCAGTCAGTTAATATTGAGCCCCCGGTGATTGAAATGGAGCGGTCAAATAATTTTGAGAAAAATGTGACAATTAGTAAACGCGAGGGGAATAATTATCCAGATTTTATAAATGTTACTAAATGTAATAACTATACAATTACTCTAAATAATATAAGAATGGTTCGGCAATTTTTTTCACACACTGACAAAAATTGTG